GAGCATCTCCCTGATGAGGAAAGGCTGGGAGAGCTGGGACTCTTCAGCCTGGAGAAGAGAAGGCTGAGGGGAGACCTTATTAATGCTTCCAAGTACCTAAAGGGTGGGTTGAAGGAGGATGGAGCCGGACTCTTTCCAGTGGTTCCCAGTGACAGGACGAGGGGCAACGGGCACAAGCTGGACCATGGGAAGTTCCACTCAAATCTGAGGAAGAACTTCTTTGGGGCTCTGAGGGTGGCAGAGCCCTGGCAGAGGCTGCCCAGGGAGGGTGTGGAGTCCCAAATCTGGAGATCTTCAAGCCCCTCCTGGATGCTCCTGAGTGATGTGCTCTGGGCAACCCTGCTTTGGCCGGGGAGTTGGACTGGATGATCTCTAGAAGGTCCCTCCCAACTCTGACAATTCTGTGATTCCATGATTCAAACCATCTTCTTTCCCGCTTTAAAGGGTAAATATTGTTTTTTGGAGGTTTTTCTTTTTTTTTTTTTTTTTCCCCCTAATGGTTCCTGTACAGTTGCAAGGTGAAGAACATTTTCTGGGCATGAATTATTGATGAAGCCCTCCCAGGCACAGCAGCCAACGCTGCATATTCATCAGGCAGCTGCTACATTATTCATGAGGCCTTCACTTTAAGAGGGAAGAGAACAATGATATTCTTGATTGAGATGCTGAAAATGAGCTCCAAAGAGAGAGCTGTGCCCTCAAACTCTGGCCAAAATGCAGCCAGAAAGTTTATAAAAAAAACACAAAAAAGTGGGAATTTTACACTTTAAGGGGATAACTTTATTTGTGGCCTTTTCATTGCCATCTGGGTATGTTATGGTTTTTTTTCTTTCTTTTTAAACAAGACTTTACAGACAGAACTACCCGATTGCATCATAACTTCTCCACGCACAGCTCCAGACCTCCGAGACCGCACCTTCTGCTGGCGACGCCTGCAACAGATTTTTTTTTTATTTATAAGAGTATTTAGAGCCCAGAACTCATCCCAAATTCATTAAAGATTATCACGGATGAAGGGGAATGGGGAGGGGGCAGAACGAGCCTGACGAATGCACACCCCCGATGGCATTTTCAGCTTCTTGGTGGCGTTTTGGCTGCACTTTTGGCAAAAAAGGGGAGCCCATGGTCACTTGGGAAAAGAATCTACTCTTTGCGTTGGGGGGCACCACCCTGAAGCCAGTGGGTCCTGTGGCAGGATGTTACCCCCCCCAAAAAAAAAGGAGGGTCTCTTGGGGCTCCCCTGCCCCAGGGAAGCAGAAAAGGGGGGTTCCCAGGAAGGACTTGGGGCTTTAACAACCCCCGAGGACACAGTTTAGAAGAACCAACATCACCCTGAGCTCAGGCTGGAGTCACCGACTGTTGGCACCGTTGCCCGTGCTAACGAGCTGCTGCTTCACAGGCTCCTTAAAGGCTTAATTAAGCTTAACAATATTTGGAGGTTACCAACCATTCCCATTGATCTTTTATGCATGAACTCCAAGAGACGGCTTCTTTCACTTGGGTGCCACTCGGCGGGGGGAGCAGGGAGAGAACCGGGGGGGCTCCCTCACCCACCAGTTTCCCCAGTACCGTCCCAGCGCCTGGGACCAGCCCATCGCTCCTGGTTCATATTGGGGGACCCCCCCACCTCACCTACAGCCCTGGAAGAGCACACACACCCCCCTCAATGCTGGGGTCTGTGTAGGGACACCCCCTTTTCCCAAGGCCCTGCCCAGGGCCCCCCCCTCGGGTCTCTAGGCTCCACCTGGGACCCTCAATGCCCGCCCCACCCCTATTGAGAGGTCCCCTCACCCCTGGGGACA